GTAACTAAAAAGAGGAGAACAATAGATTCCACAACAAGGAAAACAGAAAGTAATGAGATAGCATCAGTCAGAATGTGTTCTTGCTCTACAATTATATGCATGTGTTTTCATGCTTATTAAATTGTTATCGGTACATGTATAAACAACTCATGACAAACAATATGTCTATGGCTTTTGGTTTTATAATGAAAGTGAAAACAAAACGTCAGTAACTGGATTATGACAAGTATAAATGCACTCATTTTCACAACTGCTTAATTCCCCCCCCCCCCCCCCCCCCCCCCCCGAAACCTCTTCACGCCTGCTTTACCCCCCCCCCCCCCCCCAAGTAACGGCAAACTAATGAACTAGCCTAGAAAAACCACAAAGTCAAAATATCTTAGGGGTTGATTATGCAACGTTCTGTAAAGAACATGTAACTATATTTCAAAAGACCAATCTTGGCAATCAAAGGGTAGTGTAGTCAACATCAAAGAAGTCACTTTCGCCTTCCAGCAAACTTCCCACTACCCATTTTAGGCTGAGGCGACCTGTCAGCCAGCGTCTGGGGTCGCAGCACTTATGGAAATTACCCCAATGCAATGGTGCAGGTTCCGAACTCCAAATGCGGTATCAATTAAGCTCCAGCTTAAACACATGGAGAGGAAATAAAGCAATGTCATACTAGCAATTCATGAAACTGTAGAACGTCTGAAAATCAGACACAAGATCCTCCAAAACCAAACAAAAATAATTAATGAAAAAAAAACAATTACCATACTGTGTAATCATCAAACTTAAAAACACAATTCATCGCTGATAACAGAAATGAAAACCAACTGTAATATCTAAATTTGACAAGACAACATCCCCAGTATTTAGGATGGCAAAGGGCATGTTTCAACATGGATATATGGCTAACCATAGTCAAGAACATCTACTTAAAACTGATACAACACTCAAGAATGCCGTCCACTAAAAATAAATGCCAGACAACACATAAACCAGACAAGGAGGAAGGGCTAAAAATGAAGATGCAGATGATGCCACAGTTAACAATATTGTACAGAAGCATTGGTAAAGGATGTTTCTGGGGCGTGTAGTAAATAACAGTGGATGAGAGCAGAACAGCACCACCTTGATCTGCCGTCTGCTACAATTTGTTGCTAGTACCAGATTGGAAGCTCTCCAGGTATGCCGCGTGCAGGGTGTTTAAAAAGTTGGAGTCGTTCTGAAAAGGAGGAAACAACCAAAATAAAAAACATCTGATATTAACTTGGTGGTCATGCTGTTTTATAAACAATGCAACAAACTGCCTTGCTGTAGTTGTAATATGTACATGTTATTTGTGTGTCAGTCAAAACAGTTTAAAATCTAAAATGTGTAACTATGCAAATGAGATGTTTGAGAAAGGCTGCAGAGTGACTCCAAGAGATCAAATCAAGAAATAGGTCTTAAAAGAAAGAATCAGCACAGAAAAAATATTGAATTACATCAAATGAAATGTTCTGTTCACACAGTGGCCTGGTGATGCAGTGCCATAAAAAGACTACACAAAAAAGGGTATGGACCAGAGCCTGAAGCAGACCAAAAACAAGTTAAAAAAGATATAAGAGAAAATTTACAGCGATGTGAATTGTCTACATTTCCAGATGGCTAGAGGTGAGAGAACCATCTCATGCCCCCCCCCCACCTCAAAAAAAAAATCTGTATTTTTCCTTTCCAAGAAATACCGTATTTTCTGAAGCATAACATGCACTTATTGTCCCAAAAATACAGGGTCTCCAAAAACAGCGCGCGTCTTATACAGCGGTGATAAATTTTTATCCAATAATTTGTTAGAAATTGCCCAGCATAGACCTCAGTTTTTAAATGCAAGCTTGTGAATATGAACGCTAAAAGAGGTCAGTTCAACACAATGTTCTTACCAAGGCTATGCTATCAATGTCAAACATGGACACTGTCTTCAGAAGAAAAAGGAAAATAGTCACGACAGAAATGAAATGTTTACATACTATGGTAGGTGTAATGAGGACAGATCGACTTAGGAACGATACTCTCAGGAGGAGAGTTGGCACAAACTAATAGTGAACTTCACAGGTAGACAGACAACAAGTCAAATGGTCTGGCCATGTAATAAGATTGGCATTAGACAGGGCATCATGAAGAGCAATGTTTGACAATTACAGCGGTAACAGAGCCAGAGGCTGACCACGCAGAATATGGACTGCAAAAATATCAGAGAAACCGAAAAATACTTTATATGAAGAAAATAGAAGTGCCTGTTTGAGAGATGTCTTCCTGCGCTGATGCAGCGAGGCATTCCAGGAGTGGAGAAAATAATAATAAGATCAGAGAAACGCAAACAAGCCGAGGCAGAAAGAGTCCGTATTTATTCTTCTCAATGGTAAACTGCCACACTTACAGAGAGCAAAAATTAACACTGGAGTGCATACCTTGATCAGATGTAGCATGGCTTGCTGTAGTTGCTCCCGATTCAACGGAGCCAGGCCAGTCGACGAAGATGCTAATGCTGACGCAGACAACGCTGCTGGAGGTGAGGTTGTCACTAGAAGATTTCCATCCTGAGCAGGTCGATCTAGAGAAAAAGAACAAACAGGTCACTGTAAATCTTGGTAGAGACAGCAAATATGTCATCACAAGCATAACTCCAGTGTGCTTATTCGTGTTCTTCAGTAGTGGAGTCACAAATAAACACTACTGGAGTTATGCTTCTATTAATGTCGTCTGATATCTATTATTGTTCCTGTGTTCACAAACTTATGGGACAACTGGTATAAAAGCTTAATTCATTTAGTCAATCGGAGAAGTTGGTCTAGAGAAATCTGAAACAAGTCATTATAAATGTTGATAAGATAGCAAAAACTAGCTTTAGTCATTTTCAGATTTAACTGAGCTGACTCTGATAACTGGCAGATCAAGGTGGTGCCGTTCTTCTCTCATTCAGTGTTTTTTACTGCACACCCCAGAAACATTATTTACCAATGCTTCTGTACAATATCCTTAACTGTGGCACCATCTGCATCTTACTATTTAGCCTCCTTGTCTGATTTATGTGTTGCCTGGCATTTATTTTTAGTGGAGGGCATTCTTGGGTGTTGTATCAGTTTTAAAGGAAGATTTTTATGGGCTGGAGAGAATGATGCACCTGGGTGTGACCAGAGGGTTCGACCAGCAAACTACGCTTAGAGGAAAGGCAAGATGGACCTACATCCAGACTAAAACTGGGACCATTAGTAATGCAACTCTGCGCTGGCTGCTGAGGATGAAAACGGAGCACATATGGAAATGCCCTGAGTGCTGTAATGTTAAATCTTGACTCAATTCAATTGATAACTGTTAAAATGTGGGTCTGTAAAACAGGGCCTATAAAACGGAGGTATGAATGCACATACAAGCTTACAATCAATGCACATACAAGCTTACAATAAATGCACATACAAGCTTACAATCAATGCACATTCAAGCATACAATCAATGCACATACAAGCATACAATCAATGCACATTCAAGCTTACAATCAATGCACATTCAAGCATACAATCAATGCACATTCAAGCATACAATCAATGCACATACAAGCTTACAATAAATGCACATACAAGCTTACAATAAATGCACATTCAAGCATACAATCAATGCACATACAAGCTTACAATAAATGCACATACAAGCATACAATCAATGCACATACAAGCTTACAATAAATGCACATACAAGCTTACAATAAATGCACATACAAGCTTACAATAAATGCACATACAAGCATACAATCAATGCACATACAAGCATACAATCAATGCACATACAAGCATACAATCAATGCACATACAAGCTTACAATCAATGCACATACAAGCTTACAATCAATGCACATACAAGCTTACAATAAATGCACATACAAGCATACAATCAATGCACATTCAAGCATACAATCAATGCACATACAAGCTTAAAATCAATGCACATTCAAGCATACAATCAATCAGCATGCCCTTTACAGAATGCAGCTCTCATCACGGCACGATTGAAACTCTCTCTTTCTCTAGCCAATTCTCCAGCTCTGTGTGCTTTCACGGCCCATGCATCTTCAATATCCTGTCTCAATCTTTGTGGAAGTTGGCCTCTGCCTCATTCTCCAGAAATTATATCATGCATCACCATTCTCTTCAGACCCACATGGCACCTGACAAAATACCTCAGCTTTCACAGATACATTTACCATAATTGTACCATAAACAGAACAGGCTGGGTTAGTGGGTACATACGCATGATATTTGACAATGACCAGGTTAGTGGATACATACGCATGATATTTGACAATGACCACATAAACACACAGACACAAACAACTCACCAGAAAATGCCTGAGGTGTCAACAACGTGCTGAGGGCAGAGTTCAACACACCTAAAGGCTGTTTGTTGAGAGCATACAAAATACTGTGTCAGATGTCATCACAATTACATAGCACAATCTTTCAATCATCAGTTTACAGCTGTAATATACAATTCTCCAGTAAAGTAGAGGACCCAGGTTCATGTTGGGAGGTTCACTGGGTATATGGTGCTGGGAGGTTTGGTTCATGTTGGGAGGTTCAATGGATATTTGGTGCTGGGAGGTTTGGTTCATGTTGGGAGGTTTACTGGGTATACAGCACTGGGAGGTTTGGTTCATGTTCAGAGGTTCACTGGGTATTTGGTGATGGGAGGTTTGGTTCATGTTGGGAGGTTCAATGGGTATATGGTGCTGGGAGGTTTGGTTCATAATGGGAGGTTCACTGGGTATATGGTGCTGGCAGGTTTGGTTCATGTTAGGAGGTTCATTTGGATATATGGTGCTGGGAGGTTTGGTTCATGTTGGGAGGTTCACTGGGTACATGGTGCTATAAGGTTTGGTTCACGGTGGGAGGTTCACTGGGTATATTGTGCTTGGAAGTTTGCAACAGTGATCATAAAAATAATAATAAAATAAAAAAAATTGAAAACAGGAAAAGAACTTACTGCTTTTGGCTTGGCAAGACTTGGGTCTAGGTCACTGGGTTTCAACAGAGGGAAACCGCCGAGATTCACTGCCAAACTGGCATCTGGGCCCTCATTCTTCTCCCCATTGACAATGTCAGGTCTGGAGTTTTCTGTGGCTTTTCCGAAAGACATGGCTCTGAGGTTGTGCTCAATTTCATTCACCGAGTGGGCGTTGCTGGGCAGAGACACCGGTATAAAGCCCCTGTTTGTGCCAAAGCGAGGATCTGGGATGTGAGAAAGCAAGAGAATGTCTTAACATAACATTAATCTGATGATGTAACTGCATTGTGCTCTTTTACAGCAATGCTGGAATATTTGCATCTTCCAGTCGACTCATCAATCTCCAAGTAATTGTTGCCTGGATTAGCCTTCCCGGGGGTACAATTTCATTCAAGTGTAGTGAAAACTGGCATATGTGATCATGTCTCTCCACAACAACCACACTTTGCTGTGTGTTGATATTGTTCCAAGCTTTTCCTTTAAGTTATGCGGATCTTTAGAGGCTTAGAACTGTAAAAATGCCATAACATGCATGTCATAAGGGGCCAATAAGGAAGGCTGATGGGAGTTGAAAGGGTGAAGAAGAAGACAAAAAGAAGAGCTTATGTAAGATTAACAAAGCTTTTCTCACTGACCGATTATCTTAAAAGCAAAGACAATTATCAACTTCAAAGGTGACTGACTGATTAATTTACATGTGATTGACTGAATGACTGATTACCTTGAAAGGTGACTGACTGACTGGTTAATTACCTCAAAAGCTGATGAAATGACTGACTGATTAAATCAAAATCTAATGAATTGATTGACTAACCTAAAAGCTGTTGAAGTGACTGTCTGATGAAATTAAAAGCTGATGAAATGACTCACTGCTTACCTTGAAAGCTGATAAACAGACTGATAAAATCAAAAGCTAATGAACTGATTGACTGACTACCCTAAAAGCTGATGAAATGGTGAAGTGACTAATTAAATGAAAAGCTAATGAACTGATTGACTGACTACCCTGAAAGCTGATGAAATGATGAAGTGACTGATAAAATCAAAAGCTAATGAACTGATTGACTGACTACCCTGAAAGCTGATGAAATGGTGAAGTGACTAATTAAATGAAAAGCTAATGAACTAATTGACTGACTACCCTAAAAGCTGATGAAATGATGAAGTGACTGATAAAATCAAAAGCTAATGAACTGATTGACTGACTACCCTAAAAGCTGATGAAATGATGAAGTGACTGATAAAATCAAAAGCTAATGAACTGATTGACTGACTACCCTAAAAGCTGATGAAATGATGAAGTGACTGATAAAATCAAAAGCTAATGAACTGATTGACTGAGCACCCTGAAAGCCGATGAAATGATGAAGTGACTGATAAAATGAAAAGCTAATGAACTGATTGACTGACTACCCTGAAAGCTGATGAAATGATGAAGTGACTGATAAAATGAAAAGCAAATGAACTGATTGACTGACTACCCTAAAAGCTGATGAAATGATGAAGTGACTGATAAAATGAAAAGCAAATGAGCTGATTGACTGACTACCCTAAAAGCCAATGAAATGACTGTCAGATTACCTTGAAAACTAATGAGTCTCTTGACAGCGGCAGCACCATCAGCATCGATTGTCTCGCCTTTGTCCCCGCTGTCTCCCTCACTACTGGGATGTTTCACAGGCTGCTTGAAACCTCCCTGGGACAACAGCTGCATGAGGTCAATGGAGCCTCCTTCTGTGGTCACTCCTGGTGAATGGCCACTATGTCCTGGCCCTGGACTGATTTCTGCCTGTGCTGAAGTCCCTCCCTGTTTTATAAAATATAAATGTAACCGTCTATCTGAAAGAGTTCAACCCGTTCTATTTAAGACCCTGCTAATTCTGCATCATTGCCCATTACAAATTCACAGGAAAGCCATCAACCCCAATTGTTGCACTGCATGTCTCTGACAGGCCTAGTTAATGGAACTGGTTCTGTTTGGGCCAGTGCAGTGTTTAGGAAACCCAGTATGAATATAATTACTAAAAATAGCCTTTGGTGGCTTAGCATGTTATGTTTTTTAATGGCATCAAACAAAAGGACCCTTTTCCATGTCTTTGGGCATATAGGGCTAGACCTATATTTTATAGACCAATCGGCACAAGATGGGTGATGTGGTCAGCATCCCGCCAGCTGCTTTTACTTCCCAGGACTGCATGCGGTACCCACTCAAGGCTGGGTCGACGTGGGAGCCAAGGTCATTAAAAAAAAAAGTCTGGTTCCGCCAGGAAGCAAACCCACGACGCGGCGAGCTTCTAGCTGCTCTGCCACAGAGCTTTTAACACCATATGACATCATAATTTGCCTCTGGTCTTAATGGTGGCACAGTGATGAGGTTACAGTTTGAGTCACTGTTTCTAAGTCTCAAAGGAATGTATTTTATGTAATTATCTGCTTTGTTTTGGTGATTAATTACTCCCTTCATATATTTCTAAACATTTTATATTAAATACCTGTGTAAAATAGTTGGTCTTATTTTTAAAGTGTGTTTTCAGAAATTTCCATGTTCAAGTAAATTAGGTACATGAATTGCAGAAAATCAAGAGGTAAGGACAAAACTGCTGGCATTCCTGGTGGATGTTTACTGTGTTCTGGATATGGCAATGGTAAGGAGGAGATGACATGACACATGCACATGCCAGCCAACAATATAGTGGTTTGGCACACATTTATTGCGGGGCAGTTCTGAGATTAAGGGAAAAAAGGCAAAGCCAAAAAAGAAACGGAAGAAGAAAAAGAAGAAAAGGAGGAAGAAGAAGAAAAGGAAGAGGGAGGAGGAGAAGAAGAAGAATGAGAAAAAGAAGAAGAAGAAGAAGAAGAAGAAGGAGAAGAAAATGAAGGAAAGAACAAGAAGGAGGAGAAGAAGAAAAAATACCACAAACCACACACAGTCATCTCCACATCCTTATCATTTTCCATGCTGATAAGCATCAGCAGTCATTTTTTGCGATCTCATATGATCACCAGAATTATGGATCAGGTTTATGTTCTTGTCTGGCCCCATCCATGCCTTCCTCTCTGTGATCGTCTACCTGAAGAAGACATAGCATAAAACACAAACCAGCCATTGACTACCTGCAGTCGTTTATGCTCCTCTATATGCTGTCTTTCAATCTCCGCCACAGTCTTTGAGGAGATCAATTTGAGCAGTGGGTGCCTGTTGTCTGGTTGTGGGCTGGCCTGAACTGGCTGGGCTTCAACTTCTGTTACTGATAGAGATCTGAGGAAAAGACATTGAGGCATCACTGACAGAGATCTGAGGAAAAGTCATTGAGGCATCACTGAATGAGATCTGAGGAAAAGACATTGAGGCATCACTGACAGAGATCTGAGGAAAAGTCATTGAGGCTTTACTGACAGAGATCTGAGGAAAAGTCACTGAGGCATCACTGTTAGAGATCTGAGGAAGAGTCACTGAGGTATCACTGACTGAGATCTGAGGAAAAGTCATTGAGGCATCACTGAAAGAGATCTGAGGAAAAGTCACTGAGGCATCACTGATAGAGATCTGAGGAAAAGTCATTGAGACATCACTGACAGAGACCTGAGGAAAAGTCATTGAGACATCACTGACTGAGATCTCAGGAAAAGTCATTCAGACATCACTGACTGAGATCTGAGGAAAAGTCATTGAGACATCACTGACTGAGATCTGAGGAAAAGGCATTGAGACATCACTGACAGAGATCTCAGGAAAAGTCATTGAGACATCACTGACTGAGATCTCAGGAAAAGTCATTGAGACATCACTGACTGAGATCTCAGGAAAAGTCATTGAGACATCACTGACTGAGATCTGAGGAAAAGACATTGAGACATCACTGGGGTAAATATGATGCTAGACTCAAATTTGTACAGACCAGTTGGCACTTATGTGGGACCTAGGCTGCATGCAGTTGTGGGAACTAGTCTGCATTCTCTCGTGGGACGTAGGTGGGTTGCAGTTAGGGCCAGTTCTAGATGTTTTGGGGTCGTTAAAAGCATCAGAAAGCCTGGAATCCCAGTCTGACCACCCTCTAAAATGTTGAACTGTCCTGTGACGTCATCTGGGGTAGGATATAAATAAAGCACCCAATATCATGCCAGGTGCCTTTGCTTCCCAGGATATTACCGGGTACTCACTCAAGACCAGGTTGGTCTGAGAGTCTAATAAAAAAAAATATAAAAATCCTTGCCTGGATGCAGATTCAAACCTGAGACCATTGAGGCCTGCAGGAGAATGTCTTGCTAGTAAACCACCATGTTCTCCCCCCCCCCCCCCCCCATATCGTAGATATGAAACAATACCTAGCAAATACTGGATTCTTTGTAGTATCCGTTCCTGTATCCACTAGTCCAGCCTTTGCCTGGTGTTTGTTCACTGTGCGGAAAAGGTCTTCAACAGAGAACTGGGGCATGACAGATGCATCACCTGCAATAAACCGTGAGCCGTGACATGGCTTTAGTGCTTGGTTTTTTTTAAATACATACTACACATGTCACCTAACACAAATACAACAAACAGTGTAAGAATGGACAACCATCAACAAATGCAATAAAGAAAAAGAATCTCTGATTTATGAAGACCTTACAGTAAACAAGGAAAGGACCTGTGTCGTGCTGTAGCACACTGGGTACACTGCTGAAGCACACTGGATATACTGCTGTGGCACAGTGGTGATATACTGCTGTAGCACACTGGATAAACTGCTGTAGCACACTGGGTACACTGCTGAAGCACACTGGGTATACTGCTGAAGCACACTGGGTATACTGCTGAAGCACACTGGATGTACTGCTGTGGTACACTGGATATACTGCTGTGGCACACTGGATATACTGCTGTGGAACACTGGATATACTGCTGTGGCTCACTGGATATACTGCTGTGAAACACTGGCTATACTGCTGAAGCACACTGGATATACTGCTGTAGCACACTGGATATACTGCTGTGGCACATTGGATATACTGCTGGGGCACACTGGATATACTGCTGGGGCACACTGGATATACTGCTGTGGCACACTGGACATACTGCTGTGGCTCACTGGATATACCGCTGTGGCTCACTGGATATAATGCTGAAGCCCGCTGGATATACTGCTGTGGCACGCTGGATATAATGCTGTGGCACACTGGATATACTGCTGAAGCTCACTGGATATACTGCTGTAGCACACTGGATATACTTCTGTAGCAGCACACTGGATATACTGCTGTGGCACACTGGATTTAGTGTTTTAGACCTATACGTTTAATGGACCAAACAGTTCTCAATGGGTCATATGGCTAACATCATACTGGCAACCTTTATTCTCAAGGAATATCCTAGTGTTTATTTCAGGCTGAGTCCATCTGCAAGTGTTTTTCTTTTTATTGGCATCCATCAGCTATAACATCCTGCGAAGAGGTATGGTTGTTCGTCCACTGTGGGCTTTAGCCGTGTTCCGAACTGGAGTTTTGCATGCACATCTGTTTTACAGCTCTGACTTATTTGAAAGCAGACTATTGGTTCCTTGCCTCTCAGAGACAGACACTCTGTCAAAAATTCCCCCTAATAAATTAACTTTTACAACATCCTTGTTGGAAAAAAAGGGGGGGGGGGACTGGGTCTAACAACCCCCCTCCCCCCACGCACTCACACATAAAATGGGACCCCAGAAACCACAGGATGAGACCTAAAAGCCAAGATCAATTAGAAAAAAAAATACTCTTGTTGCAGATTCGAACCCAAGATGTTTGTGCTGGTAAGCAAGCAGGCATCCATCTACAGTTTTACCACGGCTCCCCCTGAAGCCCATAAATGTTAATTTTCTTTTAAATGATAAAACTCACCGCTGGCATGCCTGATTGGCCTCAGATCTGGATGTTCATAGGATGCTCCATGCTCCTGCTGTCAAGGAAATAAAAACAAGTTGATATGAGAGTGCAGGGACATGTTAACTTGACAGACACTAAGTGTGTTTAGCTCAAACACTTGGAAAAAAAAACCAAATCTGGCATTAGTTTCAGACATTAGTATTATTGAAACAGTCTAATTGTTGCATGGAAATATTATGTCTCTAGCACTAAAAACTTTGCTTAGCTTTGGGAAATTCTTACACTAGCACTGGAAAAGGCTGGCTTTAGCAACAACAAAAAAAAAAGTATTCTAGCATTGAAAGAGCTAGCTCTAGCCCAGAAACAGTCTTTCAGCAAAGATTCTAGCTCTAGCAAAGCAATGAAAGAGTGTAGCTCCAGCATTTAAAGAACTCAGTTTCAGCACATAGAAGACACATTACTGACAGAAGACACATTACTGACAGAAACACATTACTGACAGAAGACACATTACTGACAGAAGACACATTAATGATAAAAGACACATTACTGACAGAAGACACAGTTCTGACAGAAGACACAGCACTGACAGAAAACACAGTATTGACAGAAGACACATTACTGACAGAAGACACATTACTGACAGAAGACACATTACTGACAGAAGACACATTACTGACAGAAGACACAGCACTGACAGAAAACACATTACTGACAGAAGACACATTACTGACAGAAGACACAGTTCTGACAGAAGACACAGCACTGACAGAAGACACAGCTCTGTCAGAAGATACAGCACTGACAGAAGACACAGTATTGACAGAAGACACAGCACTGACAGAAGACATAGTACTGACAGAAGACATAGTACTGACAGAAGACATAGCACTGACAGAAGACATTACAGACAGAAGACATAGTACTGACAGAAGACACAGCACTGACAGAAGACATTACTGACAG